GTCCCACACGTGTCCCTCACCTGTCCCACAAGTGTCCCTCACCTGTCCCACAAGTGTCCCTCACCTGTCCCACAAGTGTCCCTCACCTGTCCCACACGTGTCCCTCACCTGTCCCTCACCTGTCCCTCAGGTGTCCCTCACCTGTCCCACACGTGTCCCTCACCTGTCCCATGTGTCCCTCACCTGTCCCTCACCTGTCCCTTACCTGTCCCTGACCTGTCCCACACGTGTCCCTCACCTGTCCCACACGAGTCCCTCACCTGTCCCTCACCTGTCCCTCACCTGTCCCTCACCTGTCCCTCAGGTGTCCCACACATGTCCCTCACCTGTCCCACACCTGTCCCACACGTGTCCCACACGTGTCCCACACGTGTCCCACACGTGTCCCACACCTGTCCCTCACCTGTCCCACACCTGTCCCTCACCTGTGTCCCTCACCTGTCCCACACCTGTCCCTCATCTGTCCCACACCTGTCCCACACGTGTCCCTCACCTGTCCCACACGTGTCCCTCACCTGTCCCACACGAGTCCCTCACCTGTCCCTCACCTGTCCCTCACCTGTCCCTCACCTGTCCCTCAGGTGTCCCACACATGTCCCTCACCTGTCCCACACCTGTCCCTCACCTGTCCCACACGTGTCCCACACGTGTCCCACACGTGTCCCACACCTGTCCCTCACCTGTCCCACACCTGTCCCTCACCTGTCCCACACCTGTCCTTCACCTGTCCCACACCTGTCCCTCACCTGTCCTACACATTGAGCCGTGCCGGGCTGCTAACGATGCTTTAAGCCTGTGTGTTTCTGTCGTTCAGGTGATTGACACTAAACGAACTGTTAGCTTCCACCGGACACAAGGGGCACTGTCCTCTGATTGGCTCGGACAGCCCCCTCTGACATGCCTGTGGCCAATCAGAGGTGAGTGTTTGTCAGTGGCTCAGGGAGCGAGCAGCGTGTCTGCAGGTGTCTGTCTCCTGGCCGCTCTGACCTCCTGCTGCCTCCTCAGGTGTGTTATGTCAGGGGCGGACGTGGAGGTGTACCTGTCGCAGGTGCACGACGGCAGCGTGTCGTCGGGCTTCCGAGCGCTGTACGAGGAGCGCCTGCTGCTGGACGTCACGCTGCTGATAGAGGAGCACCACTTCCAGGTACCAGGACCAGACCTGGTCTAATGAAAGACGAGGTCAGAGACCACCTGACTTCATCATGTGACTCCTCCTCCTCCTCCTCCTTCTCCTGCAGGCCCACAAGGCGCTCCTGGCCACGCAGAGCGACTACTTCCGGGTCATGTTCACGGCAGACATGAGGGAGCGGGACCAGGACAAGATCCACATGAAGGGTCTGACGGCGGCGGGCTTCGGTCACATCCTGCGCTTCATGTACTACGGCTCCCTGGAGCTCAGCATGCCCACGGTGCAGGAGATCCTGCAGGTACTGGCTCCGCCCCTTCTCTCCCGCTGAGGGGGGTTAGACCCACAGCTGAGGCTGACCCCTCCCCTCTCCTGTCCTCGCAGGCAGCCATGTACGTGCAGCTGACGGAGGCGGTGGAGTTCTGCTGCTCCTTCCTGCTGGCTAAGATCTGCCTGGAGAACTGCGCCGAGGTCATGAGGCTCCTGGAGGACTTCAGCGTGGGCGTGGAGGGCGTCCAGGAGCAGCTGGACAACTTCCTGCTGGAGAACTTTGTTCCTCTGATGAGCCGAGCCGACTTCCTGTCCTACCTCAGCCTCGAGAGACTCCAGGTTCAGCTGATAACTCGGTTGTTTTATATTTTACAGCTAATGTTCGGCTCATTCTGCAGATCTGAGATGAGACTTTATTATAACATTTAGCTGTTTTTACCTCCTGTTCTGCTTCTTTTACGTATCTCTTTAAATACTGTTAATGTTAGGTTACTTTTAATAACTTTTAGCTAGTCTTTTGCTACTTCTAGCATCTGGTTGCGTTTAGCTAACCTTTCAGTATTTTTAGTTTTCAGCTTGCCCTTTACTAATTTTAGCTTTTAGCTAGTTTTTTGCTGTTTTAACTAAGTTTACTTCATTTAACTGTTTTACTATTTTTAGCCTTTAGCTTTAAGTTAATTTTTTTTATTTTAACTAGATTTACTTCATTTATCTAATGTAATATTTTTAGCTTTTAGCTAGTTACTTGTTTTTAACTAGATTTACTTCATTTAACTAATGTTTTGATATCTTAGCCTTTAGCTTTCAGCTAGGTTTTTGCCATTTTAACATGATATGCTACATGTCGCATATTTCTATCGTTGCCTAACWGCTTTGCTAATTTGTAGCTTTTAGCTAGTGTTTTACTAGATTTAGCTAACTGTTTTACTGTTTTTAGCCTTTAGCTTTTAGCTCATCAGTCCTTCAGATTTGCGTAGTTCTGTGGTAAAAAGGTTAAATCAACCTGCAGCTGATGATTTAAGCTGATTTTTGCAGATTCTTCGGCTTGTTGAAGATGTTTTTATTGTTATTCTTTTGTCACAGATGTAGACAAGTTTCTAGACAAAACAAAACTTTAGCATTAGCATCAAAGAGCCGTGTTTAACCTGCTCCAGTTTCCACCTGGTTCTTTGGGCTCAGAGTCTCTGTGGTCTCAGGTTGACCCGGTCCTCTCTGGTCCTGTCTGTTTCCCTGCAGGCGTACCTGAACAGCGACGCTCTGAGTCGTTTCCCGGAGATCGAGCTGTACGAAGCCGTGCAGGCGTGGCTGAGACACGACCGGCGGCGCTGGCGGCACACAGACACCATCGTTCAGTCCGTCCGTTTCTGCCTCATGACGCCTGCAGACATCTTTGAGAAGGTGAGGAACAGGTTTTATGTCTCAGAGCTGCTGACGTGTTTTTATCTGCTCCTGATTGGCTGGAAGCTCAGGGTCTGGTTCCCTCGCAGGTGAAGACCTCAGAGTTCTACCGTTACTCCCGGCAGCTGAGGCAGGAAGTGGACCAGGCTCTCAGCTACTTCCACGACGTCAACCAGCAGCCTCTGGTGGAGACCAGGTCCAATCGGATCCGCTCGGTCCGGCCGCAGACCGCCGTGTTCAGGGGGATGATCGGCCACAGCATGGTGAACAGCAAGATCCTGCTGCTGCAGCGGCCCAAGGTCCGACAGGCCCGACTGGCCTGTGCTGATGTGTTTCTGTAGATCCTGAAGACTCTGTCCTGTAGCCTCACCGCTGCTGTCTCCTCAGGTGTGGTGGGAGCTGGAGGGTCCTCAGGTGCCTCTCAGACCGGACTGCCTGGCCATCGTTAATAACTTTGCCTTCCTGCTGGGCGGAGAGGAGCTGGGTCCTGACGGGGAGTTCCACGCCTCCTCTAAGGTCTACCGCTACGACCCGCGGCAGAACTCGTGGCTGCGCATGGCGGACATGTCTGTGCCCAGGTCAGCGGAGTCAGGGGGGTCTGAGGGTCCGAGCTGCAAACGTTTTTTTTAAATTTTCTGCTAATCTTCACTTGACTTGTTGAACGGTTCGTGTTTGTTGTCTGCAGGTCAGAGTTTGCCGTTGGCGTCATCGGGAAGTTCATCTACGCGGTGGCGGGCCGCACGCGGGATGAGACCTTCTACTCCACGGAGCGCTACGACATCACCGAGGACCGCTGGGAGTTTGTGGACCCGTATCCTGTCAACAAGTACGGCCACGAAGGAACGGTCCTGAACGGGAAGCTCTACATCACGGGGGGCATCACCTCCTCCTCCACCTCCAAGCAGGTGTGTGTGTTCGACCCGGGCCGGGAGGCAGGCGGCGGGGGAGGAGGAGGAGGAGGCGGCGGCGGGTCGGGCGGGTCGGACTCCCACAGGACGCAGCGCGCCGCCGGCCGCGGCCCGCTGCTGCCCGGCACCCACGCCAGCTGCTGGGAGAACAAATCCAAAATGAACTACGCTCGCTGCTTCCACAAGATGATCTCCCACAACGGGAAGCTGTACGTGTTCGGAGGCGTGTGCGTCATCCTGCGCGCCTCCTTCGAGTCGCAGGGCTGCCCGTCCACCGAGGTCTACGACCCGGAGACGGACGAGTGGACCATCCTGGCCTCCATGCCCATCGGGCGCAGCGGGCACGGCGTGGCGGTGCTGGACAGGCAGATCATGGTGCTGGGCGGCCTGTGCTACAACGGCCACTACAGTGACTCCATCCTCACCTTCGACCCCGACGACAACAAGTGGAAGGAGGACGAGTATCCCAGGATGCCTTGCAAACTGGACGGTCTGCAGGTGTGCAGCTTGCACTTCCCAGAGTACGTGCTGGAGCACGTCAGACGCTGCAGCTGAGGTCCGCTTCACGTCACGCCTCCTTTTTTTAGAAACTGGACTGTTAAAGGACCGAGCGGCCCCGCTCAGGGGGGTTCAGGTGTTCCAGGCTTTTAAACCAGAGACCAGCACTTACCTGAAGGACAGGTGAGGAATCAGCAGGCAGAGCCAAACTGTTGCTCTTCCTGAAGGCAAATCGATTCATGGCTCCATCTCACATCAGTCAGAGCCAACATTTTCACTTTTAATTTCTCAGAAAATTCAGAATAAAACTAAACATCGGGCCTATTTTAAAGTTTCATCCTGCTGGTTTATGTTTCTGAACAAGCTGTGGAAAATATGAATAAAATAATAAAGTTTAAAGAGCCCTGACACATTTACCAAATCATTGAAATTTAAATTAAATAACTTTGGACCAAGTACACAACCTTGAGGAACTCCACATGTGAAGTTACAGACTTCAGATCTTACATCATGTATTTGTACAAATTATTTCCTGTTTTTCAAATAACTAGATACCCACTGTAATGCTGTACCTCTAATGCAATATTTATTGAACTTTAAGGAGAGTAATGTGGTCAATACTTTCTTTAAATCCACAGATTTAAGACTCCCACATACTTGAGCGTACTGACCGCCTGACAAATTCTTTAATTTCTCACAGTTTCAGTCATGATGTCAAGGATGAGGAGGAAGAGATAGTTTGCATTTTAGCTTTAAAACAACAAAAGAAAAAAACACTATCGTACCCAGGATCTGAGCTATTTCCTCCCACAAATTTGCTGCTTGCTGAAAGTCTTTATAGTCCTTCAGTGACGCGTCATAAAGTTTTCTAATCTCCATTTCGTCCACAAATGACACCGATTCTCAACTTTATCAGCTTGGTGTCGCATCCAAAACAGAACTCGCCCGGCAGTTTATTGTGCGACACCGCGGACATAAAAAAATGATCTCTGCGTGGACCGGTCCAGCGGACGACTGCTTCCTGTCCGCCTCGAGTTCTGAGGAGCGAAGTACACCCGAGTATCTGGGGCCTTAACACAGTATTATTTTAGATCAACAGCAGTTATTTGTTCTATCAAATCAATTGTTGCTTCCATCAAAGTAAAAATTTGTTTATTCTAAAAAAAACAACAAATAATTTCATACGTTTATTATGTTCTACTGTATATAAAAATGGATTCATTAGATTYCCATTGCGTTCAGTTGTTATTTATATTTTCCACAGCTTTCTCAGACGTAGTAAAAAGAACGTCTCACCGGTCGTATTCCAACAGATCAGTCAGGCTCAGGTCAGAGCCTCTCTGTGCTGCTATGGTTAAAAACCTGTCACTGGGTTCTGAGGTTATTAAAATAATTATAATTGAAAGTGTTTTCCTGCAGGACAGAATTTGTATCGTCGCAGCGCAGAGAGGTCCTGGCTTCACTGCAGAAACGCACTGGAAGCTTCAGCTTCAGCTGTTAACTCGACCGGTCCCACAGCTCCAACAACATGTAGGTTTCTCTCTTATTGATTAAAGACAAGTTGGTGAAATATAAGATGATCCCTGCAGAATATATAAATAAAATATAAAACTGTAGTTTAGTTGATATAAATAAAGTGTAGGAAACATCAGCAGCTTCACTCATCACATCCAGATTTTGCTTCCAGTGCGTTCCAGCTCTGCTTCCAGAAATCCACCAGACTCTCGCGTCTTCTCATCTGTCTCCGTCCGGTTAACGTGTTCGTGAGGAGAACCCCACCCGACATGTTTTAATTCTTCATTTCCTAACCCCCAGGTCAGCAGAGAGGCCGTCTCAGAGCAGCTTTACTCGTCCACGTTCCCTGCACTTTATCGGTTCTTGTTGTGACTGTAAATAGTTTAGCTCGTTTAGAAGCTGAAGTTTTTGTTTTTGCTACATGCTGTACTGTTGATGTTGAGCAGTGTCTGAAATGAACATGTTCCCTGAAATCAACCAAGGCAACTCTGGACCGTTTTCTTCTGTTAGCGTCACTCAGATGATCAGGTTTCAACAGTAGCTAAAGACGGACTGAACCAGAGAAAACACCAGCAGCGAGAGGAAAAATCACCTTTTTCTGACTAATTTAGACTCAACTCAAATATTTAAAAATAATAAATGAACATTTCTACAGAATTTACTGTAATACATTAATATTTAAATATATTCTGGTAGTAGTATCACCAAATACAATGAGGCAAGTATTCAAGATGGCACCTGCTTAGATATGCTACSCTAGTTAACGTTAGCATGAAATTACCACTTTGTTACTGCGATAAATTTATCTGCTGCCTCGTTAGTTCATATAAAATAACAAACCAAAGAAGTAAAATGTTTTAACGTTTTTCTAAACTGATTGTTTGATTCTATAAATCTATCAAAACCGAATAAAATTAGACTTAGCCATGGCTAGCAGCTAGCTTTTACTTGATATTGCTAACAGGTTTTAGCTGTGAATTAGTCATGAAAGAACACATCTACCAATAAATTGATTTATTAAATATAAATGTTAAAATTATTGTGAAACCAAGTTTTTAAAGTTAAAAAGATGACAATGCTAAAAGCAGAGTTAGCTAGTGTTAGCTGGCAATTAGCACTGTTTAAATGTTCTAAACCTTTTAAAACTACTTTTTATTTAAGTTTGTGACAATATAATTTTACTTTTGTTCAATTAATATTTTTTTATTAACAGAAAACAAACGTGAATATAGCACCTGCTAATGTGTGCTAAACAAGCTAATGTTAGCTTCTTTTGTTAACATTACAAGCTAACATTTTTCTGCCTCGTTAATTCGTACTGAATGACAACAAAAGTTTAGCTTTTGTAAGTTAGACGTTTTTTCTTCATCTAAGTGTTTAAACAGATTTTTGATTGAATGTAGTGAATTACCTAAACAACTTTAAATGATTAAAGGGATCCATGATTAGTTGTAACATTAGGCTTAATTTGATAAACATATATTAACGGTAAAAAAAAGATTAAAAATACATGTAGGCTGTTTAGTTTTTATAATTTTTAAACTAAAAGTTTAAAAATACATTTCATGGACGGGGCCGTTT